TGGTTTATTTATTGGCATATGTTTGCCTTTATTCATACATTCAGGGGCAGACTGCCTTGATTGCTTTCGTTTTGGGGGGGGACTTCCTTTTTTGGTTTTTAATAACCAGCAGGGAGACTACAAACCCCTCTTTTCCCAACCTAACTAATCGATTTCTACTAACTAACCATTCAAATTGATGTTTTCTTGTTAACTGTTTTTGTTTTTACTAAAATATATATTGTTTTTTGCGGGCTTATTTTGACACAATGAGTGAGTGGTTGGTTTTGGCCAAAAATTGTGTTAAAAAGAACTTGGGTAAGGGGTGAAAAAGAGGGGCTATTCTGTAGTTCCTTTCATTACTTTTTAAGATTATTAATGTTATAGAAAGTTTGCTTATAAAAATCATTAAAAAATCACCGAAAATAACCGAAAATCACCTTAAGCTGCCTTTATCCTTGAATCCTTTTAAACTTCTTGTTTGATTTCCTTTTTTCCCTTGCGTTTTTCTTGTTTGTTTTCCTTGTTTGTAAATTAAATAAAATGCTTAATAAAATTGATTGATTAGCTGCAAATGGCAGACGAAGTTGTCCTCGAGGAGGGTTAAAGGATAAACCAGGTCATAGAGATAGAAGGAGAAGGGAGTAGGGAGTAAGGAGGAGTAAGGAGTACGGAGTACGGAGTAAGGAAGAAGAAGAAAGGAGGAGTAAGGAGAACAAAGAAGGAGTCAGAAGCAAGGAGTTAGGAGTAAGTAGCCGTAATCAGGAGCGAGGAGTAAAGAGTAGAGACTAGTGAGTAGGAAGGAGTAAGAAGCAACCCGCTAGGACCACCCAAGGACCACGAGCTGGCCCCCACATATCCCGCATGCTTATTTAAAGGCATTGATGCCCGGCTTGATTCCTGTTCCAAGTGGATCCTAAGCCATATCGCAGACTCCCCATGCTGAGCTGCTCGCTCGCTTCTCTCGGTTCCTGCTGCCTTCTGCCACATTTGCGATTCCTTTTGCCATTGTCCTGATTCTACAAATACCCACACATACATACACCCCTCTGCTCTACTACACATATGTAAGATTGTAGAGAAAGCTCACTTAGGTTGTAGCCGATGGAGTAGTCCTGGCAGGACTCCGCTGTTGTTCCTTCCACTGCTTACACAATTGTCTGTACATTATTTGAGTTTGTGCTGGCATTTGTTATTTTGCTTTATCCTTTTAGATGAAGGCAGAGGCAACGGCAATGGCAACGCAAAGTAATGCGATTGCATGGGAAGGGTGGAAGGGTAAGGATAGCTAGTCGCGAGTCCTTAGCCAACTGACAACTGCACTCTGCGTCACCTTCCTCTCCTTCTGCACTTCCTGCCGAAAAGGTAGAAAGGTGGGCGGGGAGGGGGGAGAGGGCTTAAGATATCTGGTAAAAAATGTATGTATTTATCGCCAGCCAAGTGCCACACAAATCCCCGCCATTCTTATGCGATTTCACAAAATAGGCAGCGAGTCAGTCAGTCAGCTAGTCAAAAATCTCCGTTTATTTCCCTTGGAAAAGTACAAATTTTCTTTCGATTTTTGTTTGTTTTTCTTTTCATGAAATGTAATAGTTTTCTATAAACAAAACTTAAGAAGTTCGAACGAAAGGCAAACAGGATTTTTGACAATCGAATGTCAATTTGGAAACATAAACTTATTTTTTGATATTTTTAGTAAGTATAAAATACAGAAAAAAACAAGAAACACTAGTCTAGTGCCACGACTATAACAAACCCCCTTTGAGTGTGTTTGGCTGGCTGAAAAACCATCTCAAGCTAATATGGTATCTCTAGAATACGTATGCTTGGCTTGATCATAATTTTCGAGGTCTTATATATCCCGAGACTTTATGCATTTTAAGGGCGTTAGAGTGGGACTGTAATACGCTTCGGTGGCATCATTGGAAACTACTTAGCTACCAAGAACTTGGCATACATACAGAGCAGAAACAGTTTTTCCAGCTTAGTTGGTTGCTTAATCTCAACTTTTTTTTCACTTATACTACCCAAAATCTCAGCGTTCCTTCAAAAAGCGGAAACCATTTTTTAAACTTCATGGGCATAAGAGTGGTCATGGCCAGATATTGGTAGCACCTTAGATTCACTGATATCCGAAGATTATACATCCCTAGTCCCAACTTTATAGCTCTTATGGTTCTTATGATCCTATCAGTGAATTAAGTTTTTCCTGTTTTGTGGGCTTCAAAGTGGGCTTGGCAGCATGCTAAAACAAACTTGCGTTCTGTAGGCATTTCAAGAATTTGTTTTTTTAATACCAACTTTGTAAATCTTATAGCTCCTAAGAACTTAGTTCATACGGACAGACGGACAGGTGGACGGACACGGCTCAATCGACTTGGCCATTGATTCTGATCAAGATTATATATTCTTTACAGAGTCGGTAACGCCTTTTTCTACCTGTTACATGCATAGCATCTCAAGAATCTCCCCAACTTTGTATCTTATAGTTCTGAGATCTCAGAGGTCATACGGACAGATGGACGGACGGACAGATGGTCATAGCTTAATCGACTTTGCCATTGATTCTGATCAAGATTATATATTCTTTACAGAGTCGGCAACGCTTCCTTCTACCTGTTACATCCTTTTCAAAGAATAAAATATACACTTTTACCCCACAAGTAATGGGTTTATAGAAGGTTACTATTAAGGACATCATTTTATCTTTCAAAGTAAAACATGGCTGTCTCCTTATAGATCGTAAAATACATTCTTAGTTAATATTTAGATTGACTTTGTCACAAACGACAAAGATATCATCACAAAACTAGCAGAAAATAAAGAGAATTCTGATCTTAAATGAGTTTTAAGTCACAACTATATTTTCCACGCTGCTCCACTTTTTGCTAATTAACAAAAATGTTAAGACCTTAAATTGGTTTTATTTTTTTTAAGATAACTTTTATATAGTAACTGTAATTAATTTACTTAATAACAAAACTCTCCACTACTACACCTCCTGTTTTGCCTACCCGTAAACCCCATTTAAGTTGCCAACTTAAACAATCTTCTACAACTTTGAGCTTAGAACGTTTCTAGCAAATGCATCTGTGAATTACATTAGCCTTTTGATAGAGAGAGAAAGATAGAGAGACATCCTTTTTACTAAGGATCCTTTTGCCTGGCCTGGGCAGCTTTGTTGGTTTTCAATTATAATGTCACGCATTTATGCCTGCGCTTATTTATTATTGTGCTGATGTTGCCGCCGCCATCTCCTTCCTCCGACCTAGCTGCTCTTTTACCCAGCCATCCCCCTCTATACCAAATCCTTGGCTCAACTTCTCAGATGTCCTGCTGCTGCCTGCCTGCCTGCCAGCTCCTTTTTGCCATCCTCGGTGTCCAATTAAAAGCCGATGCTGCCGTTGCAGTTTCAAGGATTTGGACACGGTTTGAGGGGCCGAACTAGGAGTTAAGAGGGGTTAACTCCTCTAACATCAGGTGGTGCCCCTTGTGCTGGCCATTCCGGAGTTCGGAGTTTGGACTGCTTGCATATTTGATTTGTGCATTTAAACATTTCAAACAAGCTGTGTCAAGCCAACGCCAGCCAGCCAGCCACCCATCACCATCGCCTCCAATCTCCAAGTGGCAGTGGCAAGTGCAAGCGACATTGCCTCATTCGAAATTCTCTTTAGAGTAATTTCAGTTATTATATTGCTTTGGCTTTGTTCATCCTTGTTCTTGCTACTGCTGCTGATGCTGCTTCTGATGCTGCTGCTGCAGCAACTTAACTCCTACCTGGGCATTATTTATTATAAATGATTAACAAGCTGCTATTTGGAGAGAGAGAGAGAGTGAAGGAGAGCCGCCAGCCGCCAGCCGCCACTGCAGCTGGCTCAATTTCGAGCCATCGAATATTTGCATCTCCAACTTCATCTCTCACCCCAAACTGCATCTCTGCATCAGCATCAGCGCAGCTTCTGAGTTCCTATAGCAAGAATTTCTATCTGGCCTGTCACATCTGGCATTTGTTTTGCCGCTTCTCCTGTCACCTCTGTCTCTCCTTCTTGCTCACTCTCTCTCTGTCTCTATCTCTATCCCTCTTACCATGCCTGACAGTCTGTCTTCTAATCCTGGCATAAATGTTGAATGTGTCGAAGGCTTTGAGCGGACAAGGCCGGAAAGGCTGAGCCTGCCACAGGCCGACCAGCAGAGAAGTGAAATTAAATGCCACCTGCGGCCAGACTAGCACAGTAAAGCTTCTGTTAGAGAGAAATTTAACACTGAAATAAAAATTGTTTCAAACTCTACTAGGGTCAAGCTAGATCACTTTTAGCTTTTAAGACTAACTTGGCTAGGAAAGTGAGTAAGAAAAGTTGGAAATTTGAAAGAAAAACTGAAATTTTTCCTATCATGACTTTTCTTTTGTTTTTCCAACTAAATGGCAGTTAAGTTTAACACTTTTTGATATCTAAAATTGACATTTTGGAGGCTTTTCATGAGGATCTGTCACGTTTAATTACAATATAATCGTAGCTGTCAAATTGGCTGGCATAATTGGTCCGTCGCCGTCTCATTCTCGTTCACATTCATATAACTCATATAAATTAACGAAGCTTATGTTTTAATATTTCACTGATGTACATATGAATATAGTTTATATATATACTAGGTATGTATGTATGTGTCATGTCCTGCAGAGTCCAAGATTATTGTGTTTCTATTTAGTTCGAGTAAGTCATAACTTTTAAGTGTCGCATTGCTTCACTCTCGGCCTTTGGACTTTCAAACTGCCAACTCGAAAACTCTACCAAAATGACCCCCTCTTTCTATATATATAGATATCTTAATATATATCTTAATATATATATATCTCCCTTTCTATCTCTTGCAGTTATTGGCATGCCACGCCTCCGCAAAACGTAGCAAAAAGGGGCTGGAAAAGGAGCAGCAGCTGGAAAGGGAACAGGAGCAGAAGCAGAAACCGGAAGAAGAAGCGTAAATAAATATGATAAAGCTTAAGAATATATAATAAAGGAGAGAAGTGGAAGGAAAGTTTAAATAAAATAACGCAATATAAAAACATAAATAACTAAGGAAAGTGCCAAGGAGGACGAGAAAGAGGATACAGAAGAAGTACACAAGCCAAAGAAGAGGCCAGGCGAAGAGTAGCCCAAAAAAGTAGGCAACGAAAAAAAGGCTGGTACTGAGGTGAGGCCTCCGCACTTCCAGCCAGAAGAGCCACCAGAGACCAGAGGATAAGCAGGCAAGCAGCAGCAATAGTAGAATCCCAAACCAAGAAGAAAAAGGAAGGAAGAAAGGGACGAGGAGAAGAAGAACCAAGACTTGGACAAGAGAGAATAGAGCTCAATTACGCCGCCAAACTGTCGTGTCAGCAACAACGTGAAATGTGCAATTCCTGGCTGGTGCTCATAATTGCGCTCTCCGTTGTCGTCTGCCTGTGGAACTCGCAACAAACCGAAACATCCAAATCATGCCCAGCCGAGTGCATCTGCTTGTCCCAGACTCAAGTAAGCTTAACAATCTACTTGTACTGAGCATAGGGCCCAGGCCAAAGTGCTGGGGAATTAAAGGAGGGGGTTTTTCTCATTCTTTTCTTTGCTTTCTTTTTTTTTTTTTTTAGTTGAGGTTTATGGTAGGTCGGTGGGTGGTGGGCTAGCCTAGCACAGTGGAACCTTAGTTTGTACTAGCTATATAAGCATTAATGTCTTATAGGAAGTATATATAATGAAAGGGGAGCTATGGTCTGGCTAATGGTAACTGTCGGAGACTGTTTTTTGGTTTATTTTAAAACTAAGAAACTAGTTTAGGTTAGAGATGAGTTTTTTAGTAATTAGAAAGAGATCTAACTTAGAATTTGTTTAAAGTTCTCAAACTACTCAACATCTGATAGACAGATCACTAACATTCCATTTTAGGTATATATTATATACGAAAACTTGGAAAGATCAACCTGAAACTTACTTTTGGACAGACTCATTTTTTCTCCCATCTACGTTTCACTGCATTTCCCACAATCATTTTCCTCCATATCTACCTTAACCACATAAATAAATGGATTAATCACAGCTGCTGCAGAATAGCAGGCAGCATGACCATTGGAAAAAAAACTGTTCGCAGTGTAAAGGCAATAAAAAATGAATCTATATTGGGGTCACATACGAGTATTCACCAATAAGCAGGGTTTATTTATACATTCGATGGTATATAAAGCTCTCGCTACTATCAACCAAAAAACTAAATTTAATTAAATTTTTTTGGGGTTGGAAAAACAAAATATATTCTCCACTCGTTAAAGCTTTGTAGTAAAGTTTTAGTTTCAATGAGTTTGTTAGTTAAACTATCGCTTTTTTATTGGTAAAGAAAACTAGATCCTAGTCTTGTTTGGCTTTGGTAAAGTAATCTAATGATCGTAGTCCTTGAAGTTTGATTAAAAAAAACCGACTGTCATCGGAAATATTTAAAGTTTAAAGGTTAAAAATGTCTCTTAAGGTAAAACAAAAGTAAGTAAGGGGAAGAAAAAGCTGTAGTAAGATGACGTTAAGAATCTAAACTAAGTAGATTACCTATCTAAATCACACCTAGCCGGTTTACTAAGCTTTCAGCTTAAACATATTTCAACTTAGTTCAAAAACCTAACTACGACAGGCGACTCCACAGTGCGTTGGCATTGTATGCAAAATCATCATCAAGCTTAAGCGCGGAGAAGTGGGCAGTGGAAGAAGCAGAAGCAGCAGGCAGCAGAGCCAGGAGTAAGGAGTAGAAAGAAGAGCTAGGAGGATCTCTCTGGGGAACTGGTGGTCAGGCAATGGCCACAGCTGCTGGCTCGCCCGCTCAGCCTCTTTGGTCGGCACAGCAGTGATGAGAGCACAGTGAAATTAATCGAAAATGCAGGGAAATGGTTATTTTCCTTTTGTTTCTGTGTCTGTGTCTGCGTCTACTTCTGCTGTTCTACTGTCTGAGTTTTGGGCCAAACCATACACCCCAGTTGAGCCAGTTTATCCAGTTTCCACTTCTCTGTATGTGTGTGTGTGGGCGTATTCAATGGTGTCCCGCGAGAGTTTTGGAGGAGAGCACGCTTAATGCGCATCCTTATTACCAGTGGGAACTTGGCATCGTCATTTCTAGCAAATTGAGAACTTAAGTGATTTCATTATTCTGGATTATAGACAATGCAATGATTTACTCAGCTCTCTCGTTCTCCACTTATCTCTCTTCCCCTGCCCCACCACTTGGAGAGCTCCTTCTTCTGGCCGCATCTTCCTTTTTTTCGTTGGGAAGAACCCCAACCTCCGCCTTTCGTATCCCTTGCTTTAGTTAACTGTATTGAAGAGGCGAAATTAGTTCAGCCTTCTACCCTACCCACCCATGAGAAAAAGGTAACAAAAGTGTAGCATACTTTTTTGGGGTCAGCACTTCCCACCCATCACCAACGCCTCCCAGCCTTATCCCCAGTTAAAGTTCAGCGAACAAGAGACTTTTTAACCGTGTCGCTTGAATTCGCGTCTCTGAATGCATAGAAACGAAAATTTCATTAAACGGAACAGAACAGAACAGAACCGAAACACAGAACGTAAACGGAAACTGAGGCAAAAATAACAATCGAAGGGGGGAGGGGCGGAGGGGTAGAGAAGCAGGCGCGAAGGACTTACTGGGCGAAAGGGAAAGGCGGAGAAAAGAACCATGGAGGAGCCAAGGAAACGAAAACTTTTAATTCGTTCATTTAAAAAGGTGAAGCGTATGAAAATTGTGCAAATGTTACGCAAGAAGTGCAGGCAACCAAGGTTGGGCCAGAAGCAAAAGCAAAACAACAACAACAACAACAACAAAAAAGAACCCAGGTAAGCTGAGGATGGGGTGGTGGACAACAGGCAGGCATGGACCTGTAGGTGGGGTCAAGAGGAACGTGACAGGCGATGGACAGTTATGCACAGTTACTTGGGCAACCGGAAAGGGAACCACCAGCAGACTCCCTCTTCCGTAACCCAAAATAAAAAAAAACACTCGAAAAAAAGTGGTTTTCCAACTTAATTTCCTCAGCTTAAAAAAACATAAAATTTTTCACTGAATTTTCTAAAAAAAATTAACAAATTTTCAAGTTTTTAACTAAGAAAATCTTAGTTCTTGTAATTTTCCTTTCCCGCCTATCACCAACTTTTCTCTCTCTGAAAACCAAGAAAATTCTTGGCCTGAAAACGCACACATCAGCACATAAAAGTTATAAAAAATGAAAGCACAAAGCAGAATGGCCAAAGACCAAGACCAAGACGAAGACTACCAAAGGCGAAGGATGTGCGAAAAACAATGCTAGACAAGGGTCGTCGCCGTCCACCACCCACTCCCCCCTTGGCCGAAAAACAAGAATTCGATTTAATTTTATTTTCAGCAATAAAGCCACAAATTCAATTTTCGCGCCACGCATCAAACAAAGTCTCGCTCCTTCCTGCTGTCCCTGTCTGTCTGGGCACCACCTCCGCCAGTGTGGCGTCTGATCTGATTGCCCAACGGCGGAGGCGGCTGCTGCTGACTGTCATGGGTTGCCATGGTGAAGGTATCAATGGCGCCCACGGGAAAAGCGGGGTGGGGAAATGTCATAAAGCAAGAGAAAACACAAACTGATTAAGAGCGAAAACCTTTGATGAGTCGATGAGTCCCGTCCTCCGCCTCTGACAAAGCCGCACAAGCAATGTTTAGCAGGGGGGTCAGGAGGTCATCCTGTTGAATAAATGTAACATCAAAAGGTGAACCAAACAATGTTAGTCAGAAGAGCAAGGACAGGGTGTGTCCAGGTTAATCAAAGAAAACTCATTTGAAGGAGCTTGGGAAAAACTAGTCAAGATCAGAAAAAGTCAACTTTGGGTCATTTACTAGAAAAGTTAACAAAGTCAAAAAGTTAAGATACTAATTCCTAATCAACAAGAAGATCCCCAACTTATCCCCCTTTTCTATCAACCCCTTTAGGTCCTGTGTAACACCGGCGGCCTCGAGCAGATCCCGCTGCGCCAGCTGCCGGCAACCGTGGAGAACCTGGCGCTGACCAAGAACAACTTTCCGATCATCAAGCCAGACTCTTTCGCCGGTCTGCGGGCGCTCAAGAAGCTCTCGCTGGACGGTAACAACATCACGCGAATCAAACAGTTCGCCTTTCGCGGCCTGCCACGTCTCAAGGAGCTGTCCATTCAGTATACGCCCCTTCAAATGGTGGCCCAGTTTGCTTTTGCCGGACTACAGAATCTCTCCACCATCCTGCTGAGTCACAATCAGATCCAGAGGATCGAGGGCAATGCCTTTGCTGGAACCTCAAACATCAAGCTGATCCTGCTAACTAACAATCCACTGATCCGCATCGACAGTTCGGCTTTCTCTAGCCTAACGAACGTCGGTCATTTGCTTCTGCCGTCGGGCATTCGAAGCATCGAGCAGGACGCCTTCGCTGGCATGGACACAGTGGGTCTGCTTAAGTTGGCCTATATGGATCTCAAAGAGGTGGCGCCCTTTACCTTCCGCGGCCTGTCCAATGTTCTGCTACTCACTCTGCAGGAATCGGATCTTGGAGTGATCTGTGCGGACGCTTTCACTGGACTCACCCAAGTGGAGACGCTGCAAATCCTCAACAACAAGATCGACTCGATCGAGGAACTGAACTTCACTAGCACGGCGGCCATTAAACACCTCAAGTTCTTCGGCAACCACGTACTAGAAACCCCCGATCCCAACTCCATCATCGTGGATGGCGTAGAACACCTACAGCTGGTCAGCAATCACTTCCCCTGCGGCTGTCACATTCACACATTGCTGGATGGACCCCTGGCCGAAGGTGCTCATAATCTAACAGATTTCCTGCAGAAAAACTACTGCATCTCACCGCTGGAGGTCAATGGACGGGTGATGAGCGAACTGGACATCGATTCCATTGGCCGTTGCTCTGACCAGCTGACCAAAGGCAATCTCGGCAGTTCAGCGGCCTCGCTGGCTCTTGGGATCAACTCGATGCTACTCATTGCAGTGGCCAGCTGTGCAGAATGGCGTCATGTTCGTCTCTTGGCCAATCGACTGGCCCAGCTACTTGGTCACGTGGCCTGGCGAAGGCGTCGGAAAAGGCGGAAGGGCAATTAGGCGGATGCTGCGCCGTTTAACGGAGGTAAGTCAAAGTCCTGATAAATTCAAAATCAAAATGATTTAAAATTGTTTATTGTGTAACTTTCCCGCAAGGTGACACCTGCTCAGTTTCAGCTTAAGTTTCCCAATCCCCTCTAGAACCACAAAATTTTGCTTTTCACCCAAAGCCATCTCTCCCTCTTGGCCCCTTGGCAAATGGAAAACGATTTCAATAGCCTCTCATCTTTAAATGCAATCGCAAACATGGCCAGCAGAGTGTTTAGTCATCGTCATAAGTATTCCACGCAGCCGAATCCAATCCAAAAACCGCTTGTACTCCTCTCTCTCTCTCTCTACCACCCACCTAACCTTCTTTGAAACCAATTGAACTGCTTGAAAGCCGTGCGCTGCAGTGCAGTCAACATCAGTTTCTCGGATACAGTTTCATTGTGGAGAGCTTTAAGAGCGGCGGCATGGTGATGGCAATGGCGATGGGCGCTGCAGGGTAGTGGAGAGGTGGTTAGGGGAATCGGGTTCGGGTTAGCATACAAAACGAAAACGGAAATTACAAATTCTATTCACTCGCCCGACTGTGGCACTCTAATTCGTAGCCCCGTATTGCCTCTACACCCTAACCCCCCTTTCCATACACCACACCATTCCCATCCAGAATTTTCTCCCTGGCCCCGAGGCCATCCAATCGCCTAACCCATTTAGCCTTGCAGCAGCAGCAGACGGAGCAACTTTGATGGAGACGTTTGTTTGGGGTCCTTGGAAAGATTGGTAGTAGGGGTAGAACCAAGAGCCAGCCAGGCTATTCTTCAGCTGCTTATCGCAAAGGATTTAGATTTATCTAACTTGATTATGAGCCCCGGCCAGTGTTCCTTGGGTTACCTACTCCCTCCTCCTCCACCCAACAGACCGGGCAGGATGTATAGGGCGAAAGCCATTGGAAAGATCCTGACCGGGCCTAAAACAAATGCCCAGAGAAATCATTGAAGGAAATTAAAACTTTGTTTACTTTTAAGTCCTTCCTCGTCTAAGGCAGCAGCAGCAGTTGAATAAGAGCCAGAATCAGATCCACAAGCAGCGGCGGGACGGGCGGCTAAAAAGTTCAAAAAGGACATTTTTTTCCCGACTCCTTTGCCCGCCGCTCTCTGTGTGTTTGCATTTGCATGGTCCTTGCTGGCCACATTAGATGGCCTATTCACTTAATCAGTTTCTTTTTTTCCCCCTCTTTTTTTTTGTTTTTTGGCTAATTGAAGGACAGCCGACGGCAGGCCAGCAGGATGCGGCAATTTGAGTCCACTTAAAGAGCTTAAAGCCATTCCCCTTCTCTTCCCGCTCAACAAGAGGCGACATCATGGACGTGCATTGGTCGCCAATGTGGCTGGCTTAACACGTTCCCTGCCGCGTTATCCCTCTCCACCGTGTTTCGGTTCTTTTTTTGCCACGCCCACTTGGTTCCCCAGTCGAGTATCCTCCTTGGTGGACAACCTACCAACCTACCAACCTACCGACCGACCGATTGGACCATGTTGTAGGCGCACTTTGCTCTTTGGCGCTTTGGCACTCGTCCGCAGATCGTTAACTTAATTGTTCCGCTTGAAATCCGAAAACTGCCAACGCTATTGTTGCGACTGATAGTCGTGAATGGCCATGACCACGCCCCCTTACGGCAAACGCCTATGGCAGAAACAGAAACAGGAAGAGGAAGAGGAAGAGGAAAAGGAAGTGTATGGGGGGAAGAGGATAGATAGGGCAGAGGATGAGGAACAGACACAGAAACAGGAATGCAATAAAATTGGCGTGACTAACACAGCTCTGGAAGCGATGCGAGCATTGCAGATGAGCTGCTGAGCTCCAGGCTGAGAATCGGATGAGGATGTGTATGTTGGAGGGGTGGGGGAGGGGTGGTTGTTTTGGGAACTTGACTGGGGGGAGGACGGATTACTACCCCACCATATGGTAGCCACAGAAGGGCAAAGCCAGCGCCGCGCAAGTCGTGCGTGCCTCGGCCAACGTTGACGCGCTGCCTGTCATGCAATCAGCAAATAGGCGACCGCAGCAAAAGTCGCGTAATTAACGCGAGGCCAACATGGACTAGGGGTGGCGTGCAGGACCAGGACCAGGCCCAGACCCAGGACAGACCCAACCACACCGCCGGATTTCCCCATTTGCCATTCAGAAGCTTAAATTGGAGAGTCCCCCGAATCAGCGTTCCCCCGCAGCTGTCTATCCAACCCATGCAATCATCTAAACATCCAGCCATCTATCTTTCTATCTACATATCTATCTATCTATCTATCTATCTTTCTATCTTTCTATCTTTCTATCTATCTTTCTATCTATCTATCTATCTATCTATCTTTCTATCTATCTATCTATCTATCTTTCTATCTATCTATCTATTTATCTTTCTATTTATCTTTCTATCTATCTTTCTATCTATCTATCTATCTATCTATATAGCCATCTATCCATACCTATGGCACTCGCCACTCTGTGATAAATGTTCAGCCAAGGTCCAGGGCATAGCAAACATCGAAAAGTGAAGGGCGATAAATAAAATCATCGACGACGAGCTGTAAAAACGTGTAGCGAGCTTTGGCCAAAAGTGAAATGCGATTGAGAGTTGCAAATTGAAAAGACTAGATTAGAGGGTGTGTGCGAGAAGGGAAGGGGTTGGTGATGAAGGACATACATCCAGCAGATAACTCATACTTTAAGTATTTGGTTAACTTTCGTGATTAATAGAGATAAAGGGAGAGAGAGGGAAAGCAGTTTATCCACCGCCATAAGCTTTCTCAGCTAACCGGAATAATCCTCTCCAAAAGGCAAGCCCCTACATCATCTTTATCTCCCTGCCCCACCACCGCCACCCATTAACCTACTCATCCATTTCGGCCTTCCTAATCGCCATCGTCTCCATCTGAATCATTGCTTACTCATCATATGCAAAATGGAGAAGCAGCAGCAGCAGCAGCAACCCATTTAGCAACCCTACCCTTACCCCTTCTAACCACATCCTCTAAAATCTCTGGCAAATTACCAACCAGCGGACATAAATTAGAGGACAACTTCGAGGGTCGAGAGTGTGGCTCCTGAAATATGACAAAGGCCATACGCCCCGGCTTTAAGCGACGTCCATTCCTGCGTGTCATAGGGCATTTTTATAAATATTTGCCTTGCTTAGCCGCCACAATTTATTGGGCTAATACAAAATTTAATCAGCCTATATACCGATTACCTTCCCTCCTCCTCCTTCTTCTTTTAACCCACTCTACTAGCCAATTTTCTCTCGTTTTCTGCACTTTTCTACTACGCGGCGTATTATCAGACTCGAGTTCCACCATAAATAACTGAAAGTAAGGTCGGTTCTCCATAGCCCAAGTCTCTAAGGTCCAAGGTCGGGGTCGATTTCTGGCAGTCTGGCCGCCGGGTGGCAGTTTGGGTTGGCCAACAGCAGCTGCTGGCGGCGGCGGTAAAGGATTGGGCATTGGTCCTTACACTTCATTTAAAGTCAAGGAGTCGCACATAAATTTCCATGCACATAATTAAACGGCCAAATGACAAAGCAAAATCGTTAAGCCAAAGGACGAAAAGGACCAATGAGAAGGGGGGGGGGGGTCAGTCAACGAAAAATGGGATGGGAAATCAGTAGAGCAAAGTGGGTGGTGGACTTGTGACGACGACGACCTCGGGGGTTAAGCACAAAATCTAATAAAATATGCAGCCCGATGACCCCTCCAATCTGTTAATTTGCTGTGCGGGTGTGTTTGTGTTTATCTAATAACAAAAATTATGAAAATCTATGTGGGTGTCCTGTCAATTAACATTGCCTCGTAATGAGTCGAATGCGCAGGCAAACACACACATAGACAGAAAGCGATAGTCAAGAACAGGCATACAGGGCGTATGAGCAATGCGGGCCAAAAGATTGCTTTCAGCAGGGGGAGAAAGGCGGACAGGTCATTGACATTAATCTAGAATTTAGAGAAGAGCTTAGAAAGTTGAACGGTTTTTACTTTGAAGAGTCAGCAAAAGTTGAGTTTTCTTTTTCAACATTTAAGAAAGGAAATTCAGCCTCGCTTTTTATCGTTTATCGATAACTTAATAGTTTCCAAATCTCATTTAATTTAAGTTTAGTTCTAAACACATTCCCTACATTTGACTTACATTTTAAATTAAGAAAATGCACAGCTAATTTCTGCCTCCAACACTACCAAAGAACTTCCTGGCCAAAAGGGCAGAGAATGAATACACCTTCACCTTCAACCCCATCGCCCGCCCGCCGCCTGTCACTCTCGATAACTCACTGGTTCACGCGAAAATGGAAGCCATTGCCTTGAATGTTAGGGTGTTAGAGGTGTTAGGGGTTAAGGAAGGGCATGCAGGCAGGCGGCAGGCAAAAGGAGGAACAACTTTATCAACGAACGCGATTTTGGCCGCTATTTGAGACTGAGATTGCGACTGACACACAGAGTAGAGGCCAAGGCAAAAATGCTTAAGTAAGCTTAGTGAGTTGAGTCTTCTATAACACCCGTCCCCTGCCCTTCACCAATATAGCCTCCCCCTCTTCATCCCTTTTTTAACCCATAAAGCATTTCCACACATGTGGGCCCCTTTTGCAACAATGAAACTCAATAAGAGCCCGGCCAAGCGGGGTTGAGAGTAGGTAACACGGGCCAGCCCAGCCAGGCTCAACAATTTAAAAGTTAAAAACTTTGTTGCTGCTGCTGCTGCTGGCTGCCTGCCTGGCTTTAAAGCCTTTAAGTATTTTAATTATGTAGGATTTGAGTTCCTGTTGCCCTGTTGAGCTCATGGCCCAAAGCCCTGCAAAATTTGTAGATGTCAGTAGAGTAGAGTAGAGTGGAGTAGGTTAAAGTGAAGTGTAGAATGGGTGGGTAGTAGTAGGAGGGGGGTGTAGCAGGGAGTAGGGGAAGCAAGTTGGAGTGCTGCTGCTGCTGGGGGCGGCTGCCAACTGCCAACTAATTGAAAAATCGCCTATGCCCGAAGGCTCGACTTGTGTGTCGTCTCAGTGTTGCCGAAAAACTTTTTCTGTTGCCCAGAATCTAAGTGGGTGGGTTGGTTGGTTGATTGAGTGCGTGCGTGAGTGAGAGATTCGAGTAGAGAGATGCCAGATTCGAGATGCGACCTGATGTGACACATGCAAATCACATGAGCCAGGATCTGGGGATGCCTGCCTAAGTGCTTTGGCTGTTAGTTGGGTTGGTGTCCTTGCGAATCTGGTTCAAATTTACCAAAATCCAGTCCGATCATCTCACTCAGGCAGGCGACGACATCAGACAAAGATCATAATCATCATCATCGCCTTCATCATCATCGTTTCCATTCCTCCTCCAAAGTCTTGGTCTTTTGGCCCACTCACATTCTGGATTCACTATTCACCATTCAGCATCCACATCAACAACATCTTCATGCTCTTGAGTCGGCAATATAAATCAAATCAAAAGCACAAACAAGCCGCGAGTGTGTACACAATTCAAGTAAACTCCATAGAGAGATTGCCATGCCCCCGAAAATCTGAAAGGCAGTGAGGCGGGTGGAGATGAAGAAGGCGGTCTAGGGTTTTGGTCCAGAGACAGACATTCAACTGGGACATAAATCAAGGCGCCGGGTAACTTTGCACTGCACTTGCTCGACCAGAGAGAGTTCAGGATAGTCAGCAGCCAGGACACTCGCGAGGGCAGGACTGCACACACACACAGGGGAGAGATGGCCGCATACAGATATATCTGTTCATATAGATATACGATATATATATATATATACGATAGATAGGCATGTAAGTGCACTCGAATGTTGCTTGTTGCGATGATGACATCGTCATCATCCTGTCCTGTTACCCCTCTGTCGCTCTTGCTGCTAGTCGGAAAATGCTGTGTTGAACATCAATCTGCTTGAGCTATGACAACGAAGCGTTTTATTGTTGTAAACACACAGATACAGAGACACGCAGATGGGTTTGGGATATCCTTTTAGTCCCCTCCACTCGCCTGCTATATAAAAAATGTCCCTACTTGTAGAGTGAGAGAAGCTCAACTAGTTGGGTCTGCCAATTCAAGGAGCTAAACGGGCTCGCTCCTCAAGTTTTTCGACTGAGCAGTTTGTTTATTACTTGACAAGTTGCGTTCCGAATCAGTTTAAAGTTGAAACTATAAAGGAGGCAGCAGGCAGGCGGCAAGCAGGCTGGTCCAAAAGCCAAAGAAACTTCTTTAGCCAAGTTGAGATTCTGCTGCTCTGCTGCCTGCTTGTTGGTAAACTTTTAGTAATCTTTTTTTCTGAAGAGATCTTTCTTAACTTTCGATTTCATGTTCAGTTTGCTCAGCTATATATCTATATATATACCCCTAGTTAAGTTGAAAACCTACTAAACTGATCTTTCCTTTTCTTCTTTTCCAGAGAACTGCAGACTTCAGCTCAAGATCATTGAGGCATCATCTCTGCATCATAACCATTAACTTCTTCCTCACACGCCTCTGTTAACTGTCATCTGCTATAAATAGAAATATAGTATATATATAAATCTATATATAGCATATAGATAGTAAACTGCAGATTGGCAAATGTAAAACGACGCTGCAGTTTTTGCTATCATCATGCGAAATCTGAGAGTCTGCTGCAGCAGCAGCGCTTCCTTTTTGCCTGCCACCAGCCCCCCCCGAAAAAATGCTGAACCCTAGGCTAATCCTGCACAACCAGGATACTACTACTAGTGCATCCTGCATATCCTTTTACCCCAGGGCTCAACAACGTTTGTTTGTTACGTTGTTTACGTTTACGTCGTTTACGTTCCTGTTTGCCATTTCGTTCTATTTTTGTGTTAAATGCAAAATGCGAAAAGCAAAATGCGAAACGCGGACAGCAGCTAAAATCTACAAATACAGAAATGCCGACTGCGGATTGAGCACTAAATTATTATATCAAATTTCCCAGTCTCATATGTGTGCGTAAATCATAAAACAAACACACAAACACACTCATATATAGCTAACAACGAGGACTCTGACATAGACAAAATCCAATGTAAGCGTATTTAAGCATATGTATTTGTATTTGTATTTGTATTTGTATTTGCATTTGTATATGTGACAGTTAAATATATTATATATAAACCTACCTATATATAGAAGACAAGAACAACGTTTTTTTTTTTTTATTTTTTATCATAGTTGATAGTTCATAAATAACTGGGATATTTATTGGCCAATTAATAAAGATGCAATTTATACAAACAGCAGCAGAGACATAATCTGCATTACCTAGCCAGATGGATAAAGTATATATATATATATATATATATACAAATATATATATACCTGCATAGATATATGCATAGCAAGCAAGTCTAGTCAATTAATGCCACTGTATCTTGTATCTTTGTATCTAACGAATAGCTACTCTAACAGCTAGCAGAAACCAAAACGAAAAGCATTTGTACTTATTTTATAAATCGAGTGAAACTATATATTATACATATATATATATAGACATATATCTAGATATATATATAGATGGAGAGCACACACTATTATTATATGGATAAATATGTGATAAAACGTTTGCAATGCCACAAAAACTCACAGATCTAGGGGGCGGAATAAGGGGGGAGGCTTAGTTATGGATATGACATACCTTCCCCCTTTTTCACCCTGCTTTGCAGGCTGTACATATCAACAGGTTACAGGTGGACAACTCTTATCAATTATACTAACTTGCTTATCCTGAAATGTAAAACCAAACACAGAGCAAAGATAACAACACTACCATTGTACATTTTATAGTGAAAACCCCCCTCCCCCAAAAAAAAAAAAAAGTAACCCAACTATATCTATAAGGTCAGCCTATGAAATGCAATTCCAACTAATCGAAAATTAAATGTAAATCGAAACAATTTGTCCAAACAATTTGCCGCAAATCAAATGAAACAAAACAAAACCGATTTGTTATGGCCAAAAATGGGGAAAAATTGTTTTCTACGTGTATGAGAGGAGAGTATCTGTGTGTTGAGCCTGCATATTTGTATCTGTATGTGTGTTAGTACGAATGTCTGTGCGTGTGTCTGCATTTCCTTTTTTGAGGCCCAGGAGAATTGTTATTCCAATTAGACGTGTTAACAAGCGAAAAGATAAAGAAAAAAAAACAAAAAACAAAAAAAAAAGGAAGAAGAAAACATGCTATTATATAGTTCAACACTTAGATATATAAATCTATATATATAATATATATATACTAACAAATAGATATCGAAGATTTTTTTTGTCACCCATAATATGAGAAAGTGTTTCCTTGTCAACCCCTAAAGAAGCTGCTATTATAAGAATCCAACTCTAAAATACCAAAAAAAAAAAATACTGATATTAACTTATAGTTATAGAAAACTATCGATTGTTAATACTGCGATAACGATAAACGTCTTCGATTAAATGTAAAATAGCATAATTGTGTGACCTAAGTAAGTTCCCATCATCATTGTCATTATTTTATGTCTAAAAATAGAGAAGAAAAGAAGAGAAAAGAGAAGAAAGAAGAAAAAGAAGAAACGACGAAGACAGAGCCATCATAAGCACATTATATACTAAACATTGATATATATATAATGTTAACTGTAGGCTAAATATGAGATATACAGGTGCATAACGATAACGATTAACGATTAACGATAGCTATAATGATAATGAGATACCAAGCTACAAACTAAAACTAAAACCAAGGAGCAGCAAAGAAAACGAAATACCGAAAACTAAAAACTATGACAAATTGATAATCTATAATAATAATAAAAATAATAATAATAATCAAACCTACTATCGACGAGGAAGCCAAATAAGAAGAATGAGCAAAACAAAAACAAAAACAAAAAAAAAAAAAAAAAAAACAAACATAATAAATTCAAAAGCCAAGCCAAAGGATTATTTATTTCTAGCGGAAAGTTTGGGAAGGGTTACAGGGGTAAGAATAAGGAGCTGGGGCAGACAATAAATGCGGCCACTGTTTTGCCGTAAGTAGGCGTGGCCGTATGGGCGTTCGGATAAGGGTTGCCCGAGTCCAATAAATCAAGCATTGGCGCATCACAGATGCTCTTCTTCGCCAACAAGCGCTGGTCGAAAGAGCTTAAAGGACCCTGCCCTGCACTCCCCTACACATTCCCTCTCTTTCTCTCACACTCTACAAACTCATTCCCAATTCCTCTTTACCCTCCTTCCCAATCTACCATAGAGCAGCCCCCCATTGCCTTTGTCTTTTTTAACATCTCTTCTTCTTCTGCCTTCTCCTCCTCTGGGGGGCTTCTCTCCTCCTTCATTTTATGTTTCTTGTTCCGCTTTGCTAGTTTTTTATTTATATGATGCAAAAGCTTTAAATGCGTCACCAGCAGTAGCAGCAGCAGCGACGGCGGCAGCACAAATACCAGTGGAACCTAGTGGGAAAGGGGAGCGCAGAGAGGATACACAGCAATTTCAGCAACAATAATAAATATCTCGAGTCAACCGCAGCCACAGCAAAATGCAAAAAAAAAAGGCAAGCAAAAAAAAAACAGAAAACAAAAAATGAAAAACAAAAAAAAAACCGAGTCGCCTCACAAAACGCTGTTCTTTTTTTCCGCCGCCCCAGTTCCCCAGCCCCACCACGCCCCCCTCTCTCACTCTAAAAAAAGACAAATGTATGCATAAGTCGCCAACGCAGTGTCTGCAGAAATGATTTCACCCAGTGCCTGCCACAGTTTAAGGCCATATAGCACAGTGTGCCACAAAGTCAAGGAATCTCGGCAGGGCTAGAGAAAGGATCAAACATAATCGGTCGTCAATAGAGAGCTATCAAACAGGATTTAGTCCTTTAAGCTATTTTCTTAAACATTTATGATCTTTTAATTTTAAGTTAAGTTTTCATTTCCGAAAAGAGCCTCAGGTTAAGCTTTCTTTGGGGTTAATTAACAGCAAGGTTATTAGCAGATATTTGTGAAGCCTTCCCCTATTTTCTTAATTAACCAAGCATTGTTGTAAGAAAAAAGCTATTAATTAGTAGAAAATTTATCAATATTTTAAATGAGGATAACTTCTGTAGATAAACTTTTATATTTTTAAGCTATTTTAATGATTTTTTTGACACTTTTTTAAACATTTTTAAAGGCAATGTAAGCAGGACTGGAAACCTTGCGTAGATTTTTAAAGTTTCTTACTAAGAAATTAGTTTGTATTTAATTCTAAAAATAATACAAAATCACATTGTCCTTAAAAGATTTGAAATTTTAACTTTTCTATAACTTAAATCATCTAGACTTACAATCCCTTTTTAGCATAAAACTTCCTATTAAAAATTGAATTTATTATAATTCAATTTCTTTAAAAATCACAATTTTAAAGTCACTTAAAATTTAGTTTTCCCTATAAAGCTTATTTATCCAACTTTTAACTATCTTTCCTTCCAATTTCGGTCTAGAAAAAACTAAAAACACCCTTTTATAATATCATATTTCCCTATTTTTTAACCCATATTTTACCACATCCCAAAGAAAGTATTAAAAAAACACAACAAACCAGCTGATGGATTCTATAGCCCCGTTGCCCTGCTTGATGGCACTCTTTTGGCCAATTATTTTTGGCGGCACCTGTATCACACACTGACACTGACACACACACACAAACTGACACATGCAGATGCACAGTTAGTCCTTTGGTTTTTCGTTGGCTAACTCCTGTGCGCGAAATATGAGCGGCATTAAAAATTAGTCCAAAGTACTGCTAAGTGCGGAAGCAGCCGCGGCAAACTATCAACGACAACTACTGTACGAGGAAAGGAAGCGGCAGTAGAAGATTAAGGGTCAGCTAGGCGATACCCTAGGTCAGGGGAAATGGTGAGTTTTAAGGGGTGATTAAAGAATAGATAGATTAGAAAATGTGTAAGTATTGATTAAGATTGATAAATTAATATTAAATCTTTTTAAGGATAAACTTTAAAAAAAAATTTTAAAATTATAAAAAACCAAACTGAAATTACCTTAAAAAGTTGTTTGAAATTTCCTGAATTTACAGCACAAAATTTGTTAACAAAAAAGTTACCCTGACTACCCCTTTTTTATGCTCGTGAATGCCTGTGTAAGTATATGAACTACAACAATGCAACACTCACACACACACAAACACAGAGACACCAACACACACACACCATCATAGCAATAGAGAAAAGCGCAGAGAAGCTAGCGTGCCATATTTTTAGTGTACAGTTAGCAGTTGTGTATGGCCTTCCGCCCACCAAGCCGCCCCTCACCCGCAGTTTTAGTGCGTGGGCGGCTACTAGAGGTGGTCACTTTCTCCACGTTTTTGTGAAAGTTTTTAAAGATTTTTCAGGATTTTTCTTGAAATTTTCTTTTATTTTTTATTAAGTTTTCTTAAATTTTTGTATTTCATAGCTTTAAAACCCTTTCTAGGTTTCAAAGATACAAAGAAAGTTTAAAAAAATATTAACAAAAAATATAAGAAAAATCATCTTATTAAATTAATATGAAGATTAATATTCTGATCTCTTTCCAAAAGATGTATCTCAAAATTACCTTTGAAATGTATCTTTAGGATACTCAAAAGATTACCTTAACCTTTCCCTTTAGGAATAAAAAACTTAAAATTTAAAATATTCTACAAAAATCATAAAATATCTAAACTTAGTCATAGTTTACATACGATTTCAATACAAGTTTTCCCAAAAAAAGAACCCTAAAACTCTTTTTAAAAAGAACGAAACTCCTCCCTGACCCTGATCACCATCTCTAATGGGTGGGATGCCTACAGCCCCTCTTTCACTATTCCCGAGGACTTTACTAGTTTTGTTGGTCGAAAATTTTAATGCCACATTTAGCGCTGGCGACAATGCTGACGTTCGCCCCTCTTGCTCCACCATATCCTCCCCTCCTCTGGCGGCCACCAGGAAACTCCCACGAAATGAGCGGGGCTTAAAGCGCCCCAAAAGTATGCAGTGTCTTTTTTGTATTTTTTTTTCCGGGGGAGATAGTGTAGCAGCAAGGCTAGTAGAATGGCTAGTACAGAGCCAACAAAACAGGCAACAATTGACATTGGCATATGCCACACGAATATGAGCAGTTGCATATTCA